CAAGAAATATGGACCAATAGGCTTTCTACAAACACTTCTATTCAATACCCATTGTTTCTGTTCTGTCTTGTGTTGATACTTTTAATACCCTATTAATATCCCCTCCTGTTCTGTCTTGTGTTAATGCCACATCACCCTTCCCACCTCACTCAAATGTAGATATAATATCAGAGAGACGTAAGTTCTAATCAGTTGTGTATTTGTGAAGTCTTTGAAAATGTAATAAGTTTTACGAAACGCGCCCGTGTCGCGTCAGACTAGAAATAAAAATGAATTTTGGAGAAGTGATTTTTGATTTACCTCCAACAGTGAAGCGTAATGTACGAAAGATTGAGAAAATTCGCGTTAGAATTATTAATCTTACTTTTTCGGTCATATTTAATAATAATATATATATGTATATATATACATATATACATATACATATATATGTGTATATATATATATATATATATATATATATATATATATATATATATATATATATATATATATATATATATATATATATATATATATATATTAGTATATTTTGATAGCAGTCTTTCTTGTAAACATATGTTGTTGAATATGACCGAAAGGGTATGATTAATGATTCTAACACGAATCTTCTCAATATTTCTTATGTTTTTCTTCACTGTCGAGGGTAGTTAAAAAATTAACTCTCCAAAGTTCATTTTTACACTATGAATGGTCTGACGCCTAAAAGCGGTTTGCAAGACACTTCTTACATTTTCAAAGACAATTTTACATACTCCGTTAATGCTTATATTCGTTTTTGGGGTGAGGTGATAGGACATGAATCAATGGGTACATTGCGTGTTTTATCTTGCTTCTGTGTTGAGTCGGGGTCTTGAAGTGGGTAGAATGTAATTATGTGTTAATTGGCTGTTGATTGATGGTTTTGACTTTTTGATGTGTAGGGCCTCGCTGATGTCGAGTCTCCTGTTGTCGTTGTATCTGTCGATAATTTCTGTGTTGCTTGTTAAGATTTCTCTGGTGATGGTCTGGTTGTTGTACAAACAACAGGGCTCCTTGATGGAGCCCTGTTGTTTGTTCATTGTTAATCGCCTACAAAGAGACGTTGTTGTCTTGCCTTGTCCCTACCTGGGGCATGTGAAGGCATAGACGACGTTGGTTTCTTTCAAGGCGTTCTGTTTGGTGTCTGGAGACTAGTACCAGTAGCAGTTTGTAAACAACATGAGTCTGACATTGTTAACAGAACACTATCGTTATGTGCTCTCACAAACCCAATGTACCTTCTTTTATATATATAAATAAATAACCTGCGTTTCCAGTTATATAACTGGAAACTCCAGTTATATTAACTCCTCCTCCCCAACCAGAGGAGGAGGAGAAGGTCAAGATGTACTCGTCCTGCATTTTGACACAGGCGTAGGCCTAAGTGTCAGTCTTTAGTGCGCCAAATAGGTCAGCTGCAGCGGCACGACCAAGTCAACGCCCCTCCTACCACCTGCGGTAGACCGTGGGTGTGTGGATCGGCCAGAAATCAAAGCAGTAATTATCATTTTTTTTTGAGTAAAGAGGAAGGAGAGGCATAGGTGAAGGGAAGTATGGAAGTGGGGAATACAGTGAGAGTTATGAAAGCAGGCGGGCTGTCCGCCTTGCTGACACGATGTGTGGGTATTGGCAGCTAAGCTAAGCTGGCTCCCTCTTGTCAGGGAGCTGTGAGTGTGTGAGAGGTTCTTCACATGTGTTTCACCATATATGGATGTCCATAGATGAATACTGTGTAGCATTCATATATACACACTCCGATGCTTCCACACATGTTGTTCTGTTTAAGGCTCTTTGTTTTATTATTATTATTTATCGAGTTGTTCATACACACATATTATTATTTATCGAGTTGTTCATATATACACATATATGAACTGTTCATATATACACATATATATCTCATCTGGGGATTATATACTGTGGGGCGGGGTTTTCATCCAGAGAATCGAGGCTCTTGGGCCACCAGCTGTGGGAGCGGGGCGTCTCATCTTGGAGCAATCTTTCAAACATTGGGTCCTCTAACATTTCGATGGTGTTCCACACCCTGATGGCTTGGTGCTGCAGTCTGATGTTTAGTGGCTGTATGTTCAGGAGTTCATGGAGCTCCTGGATTGTCTGATCATATGGTGGACGGTGTTTTGCTGCTCTCCTTAGCGCCTTATTTTGTACTGCTTGCAGTTTCTGCATGTTAGTTTTCTTTATGGTGTGTAGTGGTACTGGGGGATACTCTAGATGCGGCCGAACTAGAGCCTTATATAGGTGGATCTGAATGTTAGTACTGAGGCTTCGGAATCTTCTCAGTTTTCCTAATGCTGCTTTGGCTTTGTTTAGTCGGTCCCTTACATGAATTTGTATCCCTGTTCTATTTATCATAAGTCCCAGTATTCTGCCTACCTCCGCATATTGGATCGGATGGTGATCAAGGATAATGGGGTCCGGGTTTCTTTTCGCAATGTGTATTATCTGAAACTTTTGTTTGTTGGTGCTAATTTTCCATTGCTTCTCAAAGTTGTTTATGAGTTCAATTGCCGCCTTAGTCTTGTCGGCTAGTAGCGGCTTTGATGGTCCCGGTTGGCAAATTATTTGGGTGACATCGTCAGCGTATGTGATGTATTCTCCATGTTGGGGTTGGGGTAGGTCAGCTGTATATATGTTGAATAGAGTGGGGGAGAGGCAGCTTCCTTGTGGTACTCCACTTTTCAGTTCTATTACGTCACCCAAGTAGCTGCCGATATTAAGCTTAGCAGTTCTATTGTCTACAAAGCTGCAGAGAGTAGCAGTAAATCTCTCAGGAAGCCCTAGTTCAGATATCTTATATTTTAGGCCTGTGTGCCACACTTTGTCGAAGGCTTTCGAGACGTCCCTAAGGACTATATTACACTGATCTTTTTTCGACACTGCGTTGGCTATATGCTCGTAGATCAGGGCTATAGCTGTATGGGCCCCTCTGCGGTTTCTAAACCCATGCTGCCTGGTGTTATACTTCCCTTCCTCTTCCATGTACTTCACAAGTCTCTGATTGATAATTTTTTCGAATATTTTACCTGGTACTTCGAGGAGGGAAATTGGCCTGTAGTTTTCAGTTTGGGTTGGGGGTTTACCTGGCTTGGGGATTAATCTTATTGTGGCATTCTTGAAGTATGTGGGGAATAGTCCAGATGCAAGAGCTGCATTTAAGATACATGTGTATTGATGGAGTGCAATCACTGGTAGGTTGGATAATACCATCTTATTTATTTTGCTGTTGCCCGGCGCCTTGTTCTTGAAACCCATAATTGTTTTATGGACCACTGCAATGGTTATGTGTTTCAAAAGGTGGCAGTCCTCGCGTATGTTGTTAAGGTCTATTGTTTGCGTCGGGAGTAGTGCTGCAGCTCTGTTATAGACTTGAGTTGTAATTTCCCTTTCATTAATTGGGCAACATCATGGCTAGTGTACCCGGAGACCATAACGACCCTCCTCCCCTGCATGGGCTCCCCTCCCCACCCGGGGACCTCCGGTGGGGGTCCCCACCTGGGGCCCTCCGGTGGGAGTCCTCACCTGGGGCCCTCCGGTGGGGGGTCCCCACCTGGGGCCCTCCGGTGGGAGTCCTCACCTGGGGCCCTCCGGTGGGGGGTCCCCACCTGGGGCCCTCCGGTGGGAGTCCTCACCTGGGGCCCTCCGGTGGGGGGTCCCCACCTGGGGCCCCCGGGACAGCAAAGGATGAGGATGAAGCTGACTTCCAAATAGTCCAACACAGAGGAAGCGTGAGGCGGGACAAGTGACAGGGTGAGCAGCAACAACAAGACAAAGACAGTGAGTGGCACACCCTAATCTTTCCTGCAATGGGATTTCCAGCAGCAGATAAGTACAGATGGATTATTGAGGCCGCCCGCGCCCACAGAGCAGTGTATCGCATAGAGACAGGTGTGTAGGTGGCAATGTTAGTGCACGGGTGCAGGGTTACAGTGCCCTGAAGTGCTTCACAGAGACCAGTCTTGAGTATCAAGGTAAGGATGTTAAATTGTTGGAAGCAAACCCACAGACAAGACAAACTAAAATTATAATCGAGAACTACGGTTCTGTGGATCCCCTCCCATGTTGGAATATGTGGGAATGAGCGAGCAGATGTGCTGGCTGCTGAAGGCGCTGAAGGAGACCATATTGAATACTTCATACCCAAGACTCTACTACAAATTAGAGGTATTGTCAGGCAATATCACCGTGAACAACTGAGGAAAGGAGGATAGAAGCACAAACCAGTGAATCACAACATGGTTGCAGCTGGCAATCCCAATCGTTATGGCCGAAGAGGAGGAGGACGAGGGAGAGAATCAGTAATAGCGAGAATCCGTCTTGGATACAAATATCCATGGAGATATGGAATGGAAACAACAGTTGATCAGCGAAGTTGCAGAATCTGTGGTGAGAGTGATGGACACCGCCTTGACCACTATCTACATGAATGTGAACACCTGAGAGAAATCAGAAATAAGTGTAGAAAATAAACCTCACATTGTTTGAGTTAGGAAAACACTATTTGTCAAATGTTGATACTGTTCTTAAAAGATTTCACCATTTTGCACCCGCAAGATATCGTAAGCTTTTAAAGGTTGATAGATGTTAATCTTCTTGTTTGAGGAGCTGTTCACTTGAGACAGTTAAGCAAGTCCCAGCTGTGTCTGGGTACAAGTGACAGGATGAACAACCCAGCGGGTTTTCTTCCTATTGGGGAGTGTTGTACATGCTGCTATGGCGGTATGTCCACTCACAGGATGAGTGGCGCTGCCCAATAAACTCGCTCCTCGGGGCAAAATTTAAAAATTTAAAAGGCGATTTGAGCTGAAACGTGTTCAGCATTCTTAAATTTTTCAAATGTGAATTTTCCGCATAAATTACACTATAAATATTACTGGTAATATTTAGGATATTGTCTGCTTCCCAAATCTGTAATTGCTTCCTAAACACGAGTTTGGTGATAATATTGGATATTCACGCAGGTTGGCGCAGGATGGAGTCCGTCTGACGCACCACCTGGCAGCTGCCTCTTTCTGTACACCCAGCCGCGCCGCGCTTCTCACCGCTCGCTATCCTAATCGCTTCGGTAATAATAATAATTGTCGTAATAATAACGTTCCCTATTTTAAAGTTTTAATAATGATGCTCTGAATTGTCAGGATCACGTATGCTCTAATTAGTGTTATCGAAGTCCCTCTATAGTTAACGGATATCATACCTCAGTGTGCTACTAATTTGCTGCTCAATGAAAAAAAGTTATAAGGTTTAAGGAAACACTGAAGTGTTTCGATGTTTTATTTCAGTTTTGCGGACCGAAGACACAAATTACAAAATCTAATGGTAGTATTTCAAGAATCAGAATTTGTAGATACTCAGGATTTCAAAGCATAGGGAAGAAAATTTCAAAGTTTAAAATTATTTTAGTATATCACCATTAATATTATGTTTAATTATAATAGCGAAAAGCATTCTCATGTGTAGCAAACTCTCGCTATAAAATATAATATATTCGTACATTTCCTAATCAAATTACTGTTCGTTATTTAGGCTTAGTTGGCGAAACTGGCACAGGACGAGTGATATATAACCTGGCAAGTAAGATAGGCTTACCCCTGGAGGAAGTGACACTTGCCACGGCACTCTCTGCCGCTAACTACACCACTGCCGCCATTGGTAAGTACCTCTTATATACTCCACTTTAGTACAGTGGGTCGTTTAGTGAAGACCGTGTCACTGTCTCCAATTAAAACACCGTTTTTTTAGGGGCTCCTAAGCCTGTGGTTGGCCCATTGTAAATGTTTTTCATATCTAACTTATGCGGTGGGAAAGCTTCCCTTGACATGCAGAGGTCACGACCTCTCCGTAGGGTGCAGTCGCACCTCCACAGATCTCCAGTATCAGCTATTGATACTAGTAATGGCTCCAAAGGGCCACCACTTACCGGCTATTCATGCCCGTGCCACCTTTTGGGTGGCTTAATCTTCATCAATCAGTCAACCAATCCTTGACACGACTACAAGCAAATCACACGCAAATATCAAACTGGTGAACGGAACTCAATAACATGCTCGTAAGAGACAATTTATTTTCGAGTGACATGAATTAAAACTTCTAAAACTTTAATACAATAATATACAACAATTATTTGTTTCGTCTTGGTGATTTAAACACGCTAAACGATAACAGTTTATTAATCAATGTAATTATTAATTACTTTAGTTATAAATTATATAAATTTGAAGGTAATAATTACGGTAATAAACACAGGTAAAAGTTTTTCCCTGGTTAAAATAACCTGATATTATTAACGTTTAAAGTTAACAATGTAGTGTACTTACTGAATTAAAATGACTTGAAATTTAACATCGTGAGATTAACCTTGTATATTAAACTTGGTAAGTGTAACAAGGGTTAATTTAATAATGTGTAACTTACAGAGAGTAAGTCTAACAATGGGGATTTACACTCATGAAAGTGCTACCTTAGGTAAAATAACCATGTAATACAGTAACATTGTATGAGTTTAACATTGTATTCCCGGGGGGGGGGGGTGCTCCCCCCTCACCAGGCTACAGCAGGCCATTGGCGCGGGGCCCCCAACCAATTTATATGACAGTTCAAGGCATTATCAAATAGAGATCAAACATAAGCCATTATATAAATATTCTAGGTTTTAACACCGGAGTGTGTTCATGACATTATTAGAGAGACATATATAAAGCAGCTGAGATGATATGCTTAGTCATGCTTTTTTTAAATTTTTTTTTGCAGGGATATTCCTGCGCGGGCCCTAAGCCTCTGGCTGGCCCACTAAGTGTTGCTTGTTTCTGTTTTACTTTTGCGGAGTATGAGTATTTATGACTCGTATGGTCGCTTCAGTAAAATTTTGCCATATGTGTTTAACAACTTCTGCTCTGTTGAATCTAAGTTGAAATCTTAATGGATTTGTAACTGTGCACTGTGTTAGATAATGTTCCAGTGGTCTGTCGGGCATTTCTCCACAGTGCTGACATTTCCTCTCATCTTCCGGAACCTGTAAGCCTATTGTCCAAGCATATATCCGGCTCAAACCAGTTTTTGTTTATTTTCAATCTGATTTTTTTTAGTTTTCATCACGAATCTGGACAAAACTAGTTTTTTTAATCTTAAATCAAGATAAAACCAGTTATTTTTGTCTTGAATCTGGATAAAAGTTAGTATATGGTAAAGTTAAACAAAAAATTGATAAAATTAGCCGAGCTTGACAACTTGCTGGCATTTACATTGCCAGCAAGTTGGCGAGGGAAGGTTATTAACAAAACTGCATTGACAATTTTCAGGTAAGTGGCATTTGGGTCAGATGTGTGGAGTGTTCGGGCGAGGGTGTCTGGGACCCAAACGTCACGGCTTCCAGTATTTCTACGGTCTGCCCATGACGCTGTATAGCACCATTACCGGCCCTAACTCCTTCTGGATTTTTCCTCTAAGCGATCCTTTCTATCAGGTGAGGGTCAATAATTTTATACTAAGAGATGCAAATAATTGTGTTACATAAGAACCAGATGTAAATTTGCAAATTATTAATACAACAATTATTTAATCGAGAAATGACATCGACTAACATTCCTTTTAGTAGATAGGCTTTTCGTCTATAATGTGCCATTTTGTTATTTAATAATAAGTTATTTAGACTTTAGGTGTATATGATATGTTAATTATTACATTTATATTACTATTATAATTATGTGGATGTTCAAGACACATTCCGATCTGGAAGGAAACCCAATGTTACTCAAAGTATTAGCGCTTAACCTTTGTCTTATAAATATAATCATAGGCCACATGAGCACTGACGGCTTGATCCAACCTGTCCTCCTACAACCTGTCCTCCTACAACCTGTCCTCCTACAACCTATCCTCCTACAACCTATCCTCCTACAACCTATCCTCCTACAACCTGTCCTCCTACAACCTATCCTCCTACAACCTGTCCTCCTACTACCTGAACTCCTATAACCTGAACTCCTGCAACCTATCCTCCTACAACCTATCCTCCTACAACCTGTACTCATACAACCTGTACTCATACAACATGTACTCATACAACCTGTACTCATACAACCTGTACTCATACAACCTGTACTCATACAACCTGTACTCATACAACCTGTACTCATACAACCTGTACTCATACAACCTGTCCTCCCACAACCTGTACTCATACAACCTGTACTCATACAACCTGTACTCATACAACATGTACTCATACAACATGTACTCATACAACATGTACTCATACAACATGTACTCATACAACATGTACTCATACAACCTGTACTCATACAACATGTACTCATACAACATGTACTCATACAACATGTACTCATACAACATGTACTCATACAACATGTACTCATACAACATGTACTCATACAACATGTACTCATACAACATGTACTCATACAACATGTACTCATACAACATGTACTCATACAACATGTACTCATACAACATGTACTCATACAACATGTACTCATACAACATGTACTCATACAACATGTACTCATACAACCTGTACTCATACAACATGTACTCATACAACCTGTACTCATACAACATGTACTCATACAACATGTACTCATACAACATGTACTCCTATAAAGAACGTCGCTTTTCGCTCGTATGCGTTACACAAGGCCAAAAATTGTCGTACAAGAAAATGGAAGCGGCTCGCGAAAATGACGTACTATCCAGTTTTCTGTTTTGAGTCCTCTGGTAGGTTAGGAGAGGACACTTGACCTTTTTCTTGACGTTGGGAAACCCTACGAGGACGGGCTGTCTGATCAACTGTCAACAGGTTGTACTTCAACTTTATTATTATAATGGGACAGCCTGCCAAGAGTATATGTAATAGTTTCAAGGTTACAGTGAACATTCGTGTCTCTGAATGTGTATCAGAGACAAGAATGGTATGCTAGGATGCAGCCAGTCCTCTTTGAGAAAATTGAAAGTCTTATCATTTAAGTTTAGATTGTTTTTCATATGATGTTATTTTAATCAAAGGTATAATTTATTAGCTGGACAAAGTTCAAAGCTGCTGTAGAAGAATGTAAAAAAAAGATGACACTGAAAATTTTCAATAAAGTTTAACTTATATTTGTATCCACTCCGTATGAAAATAAATTTACATGTGCATTTTGGTTAATGATTAATGTGTGAATTTGTCCACTATTTAAATTGTATTTGGTTATCTTCACGTCTTTACTGGAAGTTAACATTAATTCTGTATTTCAGGGCATAGCTGGAGGCTGTCTGGCAAGCGTGTTGGTGATCCTTGTATGTTGGTGGCGGTGCAAGTGTCGACGCCTCATCACCGTTATTGCCCTGGTGGTGGTCGTGCTGGTGGCCGCTGTCCTCTGGTTCCTTCTGACACACTACCGCTTCCACACCAAAGCGTGGTGGAGTGTAAGGTTTTAATTTTTGGAGTACACATAGGTGGGGGTGGACGTAGTGGTGGCTTTAAGCATCGTATTGGCGTATGCCTTTCCATTGGAGACTTTCAGCGCCGTGGAGAGGGGGGACCTGCTGCCTGGGTAACAGCTTCTTCCTCGAATCAACCTACCCAGGCTTTGCGCCCTGGCGAGGCCACTCCAGACCAGGCCGACACCAGAGCGCAACTCCATAGTCTCCTGAGACTGATGGATGCCCACTAAATACTAAGACTTTGTACACAATACACCGTCTTAACACTTAGCAGTGGTAGCCAGTAAGGTCTCTATAGCTGATGGAATAATAAAGACGATATATGTCATAACTCACAGAGAAAATAATAATAATATTTATTTACAAGAAGGTACAATGGTTATGTGAGATTACATAAGATTGGTATTTTTACATTCTTGCAAAGCCACTAACACGCATAGCGTTTCCGGAAAATAAATATTCACTGAGAGGGTACCCCGCTTCTCGGTGTATATACATTGAGAGTTTACTTTAGCTCTGGGATATTTCCAGTACTATAGAGAACGTTTAAAATACTGAACAGTTTAGAGGATAGTGATCCAGGGCACTGCTTTAAAAGATCAGATGTAACATAAACAAGGAATAACAGTAAATGAAGGATGTTTCAAGTTACAGCTTCAAACAAAACCTAGTTATGCAAATCATAAACTATGAATATCATCAAATAAGGAATACTCATATTTTAGCCCAGCCTCATAAACAATGGCTAAATGATCATTAATTCAGCAGCCAAATGCTTCACGTTTGATCATTTCTCCTAATCAATACTTCCTACATATAAAGCACACCTCTAAATGTGTGTCTAAATACCCACGTGCTGTAAATACAAATAATTTTCTGCAGAATCAAAACACCTAACCTATGCCAGCTATAAATTAAATTAAAATATATAGTAATATTAATTCATATGTGAGAGTACTTCTTTATTACAAAGTACAAAACATTATTCAGCATTTTCCATATTAGCATTGTCTATTCGTTAGTAATGAGCATTATCCACAATACATAATACATTGTCTTGTGTGGTGGTGGGTTCTTCAGGTCTCGCCGTGGATGATACAACACCTGAACTGTATAGTGATGCAGGACGAGGTGGTGGTGGAGCAGCCACTGGTGCTGGAAGGTTTCTCTCAGCGACTCGTTGACCAGTCTCTTGAGTTCATCTCTAACCACGCCAGTGACAGTCGCCCCTTCTTCCTGTACCACGCCTTCGCCCACGTCCATACACCCATGTTCACACTACCAAGCATGGCTGGACGCAGCAGGCATGGCAGGTAAGCAAAGACGAGGATTGAGTTCCAATTGTGTCATCAGTGGCGCTAAATCTTCAAGGTGATTGTGTGTATATGGGCAAATAATAGGTCTCCTATTAAAATAAAGGGGATGATTTATGCGCAGGTACGGGGATAACGTGGAGGAGATGGATGCTGGCGTGGGGAAGATCCTGGATGCCCTCACGCGCCACAACCTTGACAACAACACCATTGTTTACTTCGTGTCTGACCATGGCGCCCACCTGGAGGCCATAGCCCCGGACGGCCAGCGTACAGGAGGATATAATGGACGCTTTAAGGGTGAGTCTCTGTTATGGGTGGCTAATGGGAAGTATATGGGGTATTTATATAAAACTATCACCACTCAGAATCACCTCATATTACCAAATTAATTGAGGGAAAGGTTTCCAGTGTAACACAAACTGGAGCAACAGCCTAACTTGGTAAGAATGCTAGGGCCCGGCCCCCCAGGGAACAAACTCTCAAAGTTTAGTGTCTAAAGAATGACTACAACCTCATCAAGCCCACTGGATAGAAATACTTATTGATAACAATCTATTTATTAAAACCCCACTCCCACAATCATAAACGATCTCGCCTATTGACATTTACTCTAAGATCCCATACTCCGTTTGACAAAAGCAAGCATTTACACCCACAATATACAAGGCAAGAATTAACAATCTGGTGAAAGAAATCAATAACCGAATACATTAAGCACATGTACACAATCTTCTTACAAGTCACTCTTCCTGAATAAACACTGCGAGTGAACTGTAAGCTGCATTTATAAGTGGTAAAGCATAAATAAGAACACGGTGGCAGATAAAAAAAAAGAACGGGACTTATCTTAAGGGAAAATAATGCCGGCAAAATTGAATGTGCTTGCTTCTGCAGGCGGCGTGCTGTTAAAAACTAGTACTCAAACTGTCCACATTCTCGAATATGTTCTATCCAAATACTTAACAAAACAATCTGTAAAATAACGATCTTACTGGCTGTTTACTACTTAGTCAACCATTAAGATCAAATTCTTAAATACAGCCAGTTGCTTACATATTACTGCCTGGTCGTACCGCTGGCACACCGTATCCCGGTAACAAACTCAACGGACAACTCTGTACTTATTTTTATAAACTCTTGTTTCTCCTAAATAGATGACCTTGGGGCCAGATTCACGAAAGCACTTACGCAAGCACTTACGAACGTGTACATCTTAACTCAATCTTTGACGGCTTTGGTTACATTTATTAAATTGTTTACGAGGATGAAAACTTCCCATTCAACTGTTGTTATTGTTATAAACAGCCTCCTGGTGCTTCGGAGCTCATTAACTGTTTAATAATTGGAAACAGAGCCGCCAAAGATTGTGAAAAAATGTACAGGTTCGTAAGTGCTTGCGTAAGTGCTTTTGTGAATCTGGCCCCTTGTTCGTAACAGTCACAAGAGTTCACAAAATGTTCATATCCCGACAAGCTAGCACCAGGAATAGCGAACTGAACGATCTATTGTATAAGGCTGTAATTGAGACCCTTAATTAAATTGAATAAATACCATTAATCAGTGTTCGTTCTTGAAATTGAAATAAGTTTATTGAGGTAATGTTCGTTCTTCTACCGTGAATTACTTTCTTAATTGAGACATAGAATTAGTACATGTACAACTACAGTACTGTATGGTTTGAAAGGTATGCCAGTTACAGAACAGAATAACTTTTCTCCCACAGGGGGTAAGGCTATGGGTGGAGCTGAGGGCGGGATCCGTGTACCAGGGATCTACCGATGGTCAGGTCACCTGCCTGCCGGGGTCACCGTCGACCACCCCACTTCCTTGCTCGACATGATGCCCACGCTCCTACACCTGGCCGGCCTCCCGCCTCTTCATCAGCTGCTCCCTAACTTGCCCTACAGGGTAAGTCTAAGACCATAGACACTGTTACTTATTCCACAACAGTTTAGAATCTAAGGAATTTCCACTATCCTCACAAGAACTCACATGAAGGATTTATCTCGCATATCAGTACAATACCTTTAGCAAAAATACAGGAAATATCGTGTATATTTGTCACGCAACAAATATCGTTTGTATTTATCACAAAATATAAACAGTGTAAGCAACAATGTATGAAAGGCAATATTGGAATGACCAGAAGCACCATGTTATTTGTCTATTTGTACTCACTGAATTTGTGCGCCCCTTGAGGGACTTGAAGTAGAGGGGGGTAGAAATAGCCTAAGCTACTCTATCCCTTTGAGATGTATTTCTTTCTTATCTCAATAAACATACTCGAACTTGAACTTGAACAGGACCTTAGGATCGAGGACACACTGGGTCCAGAACCAAGTGTTCTAATCCTACCTTAAATAGATGTGGAATAGAAACACTGGTATCTTCCTAGAGTCCAATACCGGCGGTTCCATCGTCTATAGCGAGTAAATCCAGGACCAATGCAACCCACTACCTACGATACATGCATTTCGAGGATTAAATATACTCATGTAACTGAATATGCACATTGCAATGGGCCTGCCTTCCTCTATTGAATTATTTTGGTTGATCTTCATAATTTGCATCTATCTTCATATATTGCTCAGTCTTCATAATAACAATTCCAGCTTAGTAATATTTGTAATTCATTTCTGCTTTAAAAACTAATTTGACTGGTATATAATGCTTTATGTTTTGAAGAATATTAACTACAATTATTTTTCCATGTTCCATGAACTAGAACAGTTCCAATAAATATGTTTCATATTTATACTTTACCATTTATAGATGCAACTTTGAATATACATTTGTTATTGAACAAAAATTAATGTAAGATAGTGTATGAAACAAGTAAATTATTGATAAGCTTTTAGTATGATCCTAAAGGTATTTTAAATACTTTTAACATAATTAGTTACTTTGTTATATTTAAAATCACTTTGAAAAGTAATCGGACAACTTTATAATTGTAATCAAACGTGAATAAACTACTACTATAAACAAAATTGGGACTGGTATATACAGGAGGTGGACGGAGTGAGTGTGGCCAGCCTACTGAAGACCGGGACTCCACCTCCCCCTCGGGTCCTTCTCCACCACTGTCTGCACTCCCTTCATGCCCTCAGACTTGCTCAAGGTAGTGTAATATATCCACAGCTACACCATATAAGCGACACCATCTAAGTTGTTGAACAAAATCTACCATCGGGCCTAGGGAATGGAAGAGAAATTTTATTAATAGAGTTGTAGCAAAATGTGGTTGGAGTCTAGGATGATAGTAAACGTGATGTAGGATTATTTAATAGGTCAAGTTCATGTTTATTGAGACAAAAAAAGAAATACATCTCAAAGGGATAGAGTAGCTTAGGCTATTTCTACCCCCACCCCCCCAGATTTAATAGTGGTATTGGCAGATTCTTAGCAAAGAGGGAGGCGAACAGATCTGAGGTTGGGGGATACAGAAATTTTCAATGAACTTAGGCGGACTTTAGGTAATTTTTAACGAGGTTATAGGAGTGGATAAGATAGTTTAGCAAGTGGGTACCTTGTGGTGGGCGAACTGTGAGATTATTGGGCACGATTGATGGGTTTTACCGTGTCATCAAATGTAAACTGAGTTATATTTGCCAACAACGTTGAAGTAAAGGGATGCTGTATCACCTCTGGTGGCCGTGCTGGAAAATACATGCCAATTACATTTATGGCAATGTTACAAACCAAGTAGCCTAACTACTAATTTCCTAATTAATTTCGTTAAATTTTGTACACGTTCAATATTTTCTAAAGTCCGCCGTCGAGTTAAATTATTAGATAAATAATTAATTATTAGTTGAATTACCTCAAACTTATATAAGGTAACAAGAAGAAGTGAAATTATCCACTTTTTAAAGATCAAATTCAATGTAAAATTGCGATGTACTAGAATAACCAATTTTTTTTAGGAATTAATAGTAATTTCGACATCGACCAAACTATACATTTTGAGTACTGATACATTCAATGTTTTTATTATATTCGACAAATATATTTCATAGCAGCCGATCGAATCGTTGCTCATTTGTCACTCGTGTCAACAAACTACGTTCATTTGTTATTTGTTTTCTCATAAAACACACACCTTCAGTTATACTTGAGTTAGGTATCATAGTGTATTTTACATTACATCATAATCTAATTATAATACATTAATTATTCACACACACACACACACACACACACACACACACACACACACACACACACACACACACACACACACACACACACACACACACACACACACACACACACACACCAGATGGCGTTTCACCATGGGTTCTGAGAGAATGTGCATCTGAGCTCAGCATTCCACTTCACCTGATCTTTCAGGCATCCCTGTGTACAGGAATCGTAGCAGACGGGTGGAAACAGGCTAACATAGTTCCAATCTACAAAAGTGGCAGCAGGGAAGACCCCCTCAATTATAGACCTGTATCATTGACAAGTGTAATAGTGAAAGTATTGGAAAAACTAATCAAAACTAAATGGGTAGAACACCTGGAGAGAAATGATATAATATCAGACAGACAGTATGGTTTTCGATCAGGAAGATCCTGTGTATCGAATTTACTCAGTTTCTACGATCGGGCCACAGAGATATTACAGGAAAGAGATGGCTGGGTTGACTGCATCTATCTGGACCTAAAAAAGGCTTTCGACAGAGTTCCACATAAGAGGTTGTTCTGGAAACTGGAAAATATTGGAGGGGTGACAGGTAAGCTTCTATCATGGATGAAAAATTTTCTGACTGATAGAAAAATGAGGGCAGTAATCAGAGGCAATGTATCGGAATGGAGAAATGTCACAAGTGGAGTACCACAGGGTTCAGTTCTTGCACCAGTGATGTTTATTGTGTACATAAATGATCTACCAGTTGGTATACAGAATTATATGAACATGTTTGCTGATGATGCTAAGATAATAGGAAGGATAAGAAATTTAGATGACTGTCATGCCCTTCAAGAAGACCTGGACAAAATAAGTATATGGAGCACCACTTGGCAAATGGAATTTAATGTTAATAAATGTCATGTTATGGAATGTGGAATAGGAGAACATAGACCCCATACAACCTATATATTATGTGAGAAATCTTTAAAGAATTCTGATAAAGAAAGAGATCTAGGAGTGGTTCTAGATAGAAAACTATCACCTGAGGACCACATAAAGAATATTGTGCAAGGAGCCTATGCTATGCTTTCTAACTTCAGAATTGCATTTAAATACATGGATGGCGATATACTAAAGAAATTGTTCATGACTTTTGTTAGGCCAAAGCTAGAATATGCAGCTGTTGTGTGGTGCCCATATCTTAAGAAGCACATCAACAAACTGGAAAAGGTGCAAAGACATGCTACTAAGTGGCTCCCAGAACTGAAGGGCAAGAGCTACGAGGAGAGGTTAGAAGCATTAAATATGCCAAAACTAGAAGACAGAAGAAAAAGAGGTGATATGATCACTACGTACAAAATAGTAACAGGACTTGATAAAATCGACAGGGAAGACTTCCTGAGACCTGGAACTTCAAGAACAAGAGGTCATAGATTTAAACTAGCTAAACACAGATGCCGAAGAAATATAAGAAAATTCACCTTCGCAAATAGAGTGGTAGACGGTTGGAACAAGTTAAGTGAGAAGGTGGTGGAGGCCAAGACCGTCAGTAGTTTCAAAGCGTTATATGACAAAGAGTGCTGGGAAGACGGGACACCACGAGCGTAGCTCTCATCCTGTAACTACACTTAGGTAATTACACTTAGGTAATTACACACACACACACAAACCCCCGCAAACATAACTAGGTGAATACACACACACACACACACACACACACACACACACACACACACACACACACACACACACACACACACACACACACACACACACACACACACACACACAAACGTTAAGTGTGTTAAACGTTCTTCATTCTTATATTCCAACTTCATCTCCACGCATATACTTACATATTTCCTTATATATTCCTTTTGTAGACAAGAAAGTGTACAAGATGCATATAGCAGGTCACAAGTGGCATGAAGGAAGCACACAGTGTGGCTGGGGAGAAGGAACCTATTGCAAGTGTTATGGTGACACCGTTCAACACTATGGCCACCAACCCCTTTTGTTTGATCTCCAGAAGGACCCGTACGAGGACCATCCCATACCCACCAACACCACTGAGTAAGTCTAAAGTGCTGGTCGTATTACCTCTTACAATAATGGGGATCAGAACTTATAAACCGCTTTAGCTTAAGTAAGATGATTTCGAAACTTAGCACAAAAATATAACTACACACATACAAGTGTAGTACACACATACACGAACAAGGGGACACAGGTGGAAACTTAGTACCCAGATGAGCCACAGAGACGTTAGAAAGAATTTTTTCAGTGTCAGAGTAGTTAATAAATGGAATGCACTAGGAAGTGATGTGGTGGAGGCTGACTCCATACACAGTTTCAAATGTAGGTATGATAGAGCCCAGTAGGCTCAGGAATCTGTACACCAGTTGATTGACAGTTGAGAGGCGGGACCAAAGAGCCAAAGCTCAACCCCCGCAAGCACAATTAGGTGAGTACAATTAGGTGAGTACAAGACTTATGTCTGTCCGCGTTTGGAACATTCTCTAGTACTACATACTCTGAAGAAAACGGACCACAAAACTATAGGCAGGACAATAATTTATGAAAATGCACTCTACTTCAGTAACGAATTTTATTTCAATGATGTTGATTAATCACTTGTTCTCACGTCCTCGTAGAAAATAACCCTTTGGACATTTTCCCAGAGCGCTTGCGCACTAGGTGCTGGATCTGTAGTCATACAGTTTCTGAACTCAGCTGATCACTGTAGCAGTAAGAACAGTATATTTGACAGGATGAGCACGTGTTCACCACGTGTAAGATAACGGAACACTGGAGTACTAAGCTCAAACTCTAGACCAGTACCTACAATTTCAGTATAGGCATTCCTCTTTGCTGCCGACACACTAAGGCAGCGTCTTACCTGTGTCTGATGGCAGGTGAGGAGGCGTCCAGCAGGTGGCAGGACGAGCCGTCTTAATTAACATAAAGATTCCGGTGCAGGCAGGGCAGGAAGAACCGGCATGCTTTCTAACCAATTCTATTTTAATTCGTTACTAAACTTGTAATACCCTTCAAGATTGTGTATCATCGTTTTAACAAGAATTATCTCATTGTCTTGCAATTAGAATCTTTCAGTCCAATTGTGTGTCAATACAATTGTAAAGGTCAGAAAAACCCACAATGTATTTATTATTTGCCCAATATAATTTAAAGGCATTTACAGGTAGAGCTTACTACCTGTAAATTCATTACATTATTATAAATACATTATTCTCTGTATTCATCGGAAGCCCTTCTGCAGATACATGGAGGTGACGGGGATGCTTCAGGAGTACCTGGCCAACTGGAGGTCGCGGGTGCCCTACCCTCCCTCACAGTTCAGGAGCGTTGCCAACACTATATTGTCTCCCTGGCTCCAGCCCTTCCGATGGCCCTACACTTGCGGACCATAAGGACAATCCCTTACCTCTGTGCCACAGTGATTATGTAACGAAGAGGGGAAGTGAATACTGTAACGGGAGAAAACGGAAAGGAGGACAGACAGCATAGGGGAAAGGAAGAGGGAAAGATGGGGAAAGAGAAAAAATGAAACTGAATGTATAGAAATAAAAAATGGGGTGACGAGTAGACTTAGTAAGAGGGACAGAGGGGGGTAGAATTATATGAGGATAATGAGTAGAAAGAATTAGAGCTTGAGTTAGAGTAGATAGAGGTAGTGCTGTCACCATTCATTCATATATTTGTAACAAGGAATGGAATTCATTTCTTTTCAACAGTTATTTTAATTGATGTTAACAGGTAACAGCTGCAAGCATGAGGATCAGAAAGTTAATACCAAGTCTGAAACTTGGTATTAACTTGGATTAGTAAGTAATCTTCAGTGCTCTTCGCTCTAACTTTCACTGTGCATAAATTAGAAAATAAATTCAAGATCTTAGGTTATCAGATTTAATGAAAATTAAAAACTAGTTTAAGATATTAACAATTATTACCAATAATTACGGCAAGGGTAAAGTTCTGGAGAAAAACTTTACAAACAATTCTAAAAATTATAGTTTTTAAAACTCAATTACACGTATAGTTATGTTTTTACCTCTATACGTGTTTTCATCTTAACATCTACACATATCTTTTGGATCTATTGTTTATCTTAATAAATAATTTACAACTCCTCCAGTTAGTAATACCCTCTTGAACAACAACTACTTTTCTTGTATTTAATCTTTAGAATAAATGTTTGCTAAGTCAAAATTTGCTCTCATCCCTCATGAATAAGAGAACGCATATTTGATGTCTTTGCTATCGTTTTTGGACTCTTGAATGCTACTTAGTATTTTGTTTTCAATATTATGTAACAGGCTACATTAGTTTTTTTATTATTATTTTCTACCACAGACGTGGCCACACATTTATAATGCTAACCAGCATATATATATATTTTCTTCTGTCCTCCATGGACAGGGTGAGAGATTTGTCAAACATATAGTTCAGGAATTTATTGAACAAGCAACATTATTTCATGAAACACTTTCGTGAGTGTTCCTTAAAGATGACGCATTCTCTACATTAGTATCAGTCATGCAGCCATGCAGGTGTGTGTCTCTAATAACAGTGTTGTAATGGCTGAATTTAAAGTGTGTGCACACCACACGCGCATATGCGTGGGCCCAGTGAGCATGTGGATAACAGCATCTATAAACAAAACCATATAGCGTGCACTAATCAACATCAATAACCGTACTATATGGACTGTCATGCAATATTACATTAATATCGTCTGATTAGTGTAGTTGAGAGCTATGAACATTCATTGGCCTACATTTTGAGTTCATGCAGCTAAGAATCATCTTGTTGATTATGTATGTACTGAACCGATCACATTAAATCGATCTAGGTGTACTCAATAACCTGGGGGGGAAGGGGGACCTCCCAAATCAACTTTCTATGGTTGCAAAATAAGTCCTTTCATTCTTGAATTCTATGAGCTTAAGCAGGATATTGGGAGACTTTTATTGTTAGTTTAAATAACTGAAAATCATGATATGAAGGATGAATATCTCTATTTCCACTTCTTGAACATAATAGCCTAAGCTCCTGAACTAATAAGTATACTACGGTGGATGTAGATCTACTTGATGGATCTACCGGGTGTATATCAGATGTATCTTAATATCTCAATAAACGTACTTAAACTTGAAGAGTAAATATATGAAAAGAGGAGAGACACTTTCCCTGATCCTAAACAATCCTCACCTGCTAATTCTAACTTCATTACTAAATATTCAAAGAATATTACAAAATACTTGTGGTTTGTTAATAGGAAGACTGTTCGAAATGTACGACCACCGCGGTAGTCGTATCCACTAGAATAAATCTGCTACTTGAAGTGGTCTCAGATTATGACGTAAGCAGGAAGCCTCTTATACTTGTGTAAGCTTGAGCAGGTCCTCAGTTTTCCCCAGCGTTGTGTAGTGAATGCGTTAGTCTTCGCTTTATGATAACATTCAGTATTATTGCCCGAAATACGTAGATAAGTGATAGTCAACAACAGGGGTATGTATATCTTTGTAAATTAGTTTTAAGAGGTGCATTTTACACTACACTGAAAAACAATTTAAAGGTTTTAGAAGTGAAGGCGCGTAGTGCTCTCTGAATTATCGCGCACCAGATTCATTAATACTGGAGAGATGTCCATTTTCAGTGGGTGCACCACCAGCAGAATATTCGAGATTTGTATATTATCTGCCGTCACAGCAAAATGGTAGAGGTGAATGTCAGGTGGTGGGCTGTAGTGGTGGTGGTTGGCGTGATAGCCTCTGGTGGCTGTGGACGACTATTACAATACCATCAGCAACAGGCCCAAAAGGAACACCAGGCAGAACCTGTAAAAGAGCAGCAACAACAGGAGAAACAGGAGCAACAGACTCGCCGTCAGAGCCTTCCCAACATTGTGGTGCTAGTGGCAGACGATCTGGGTATCGGGGACCTTGGGTGCTATGGCAACACCACTATTAACACTCCCAACATCGACAGGTATGTCAACTATACTTATGTTACTGATAATACTCGTAGTAAATAAGTAATTATCAAAAGAAGGCGCCAAGCAGACTTGTAGTAAATTTGTTATATACCGTGTACCTTGGAAGAGGAAATTATGGCCCCCAAATACAATTCCACCAATGATTGATTTAATAAAAAATGTCTTTACTTGTTAAAATTTCATCGGGTAATCATACCTCCAAAATTTGCAATAAAAATGGAAATAGGAAATAGTGTTCAATGTCAAAGAATCATCTTAACTATTTTTGTCCACTCCATTCAGCCACTGCATTATTTTCTTTCATTTCGAATGCTTATCTTCAAAATTCCTGTCACATCCCTTTACACATTGTCCAATATTCGTAATAAATTACTATATATATATATATATATATATATATATATATATATATATATATATATATATATATATATATATATATATATATATATATATATAAATCTGTTTATAAATTTTCGATTAATTTGATAGCAGCACAGGTAGTATGAAAACAACCTTAGCCAGCAACAGTAGGACGCATTTTTATGTTGGAAATTCGTAATTATTCAGGATATATTGATGGGTTTAATTATATTTGTTGGCTGGTGGCCTTAAAAACCCTCCCACAGTTCAAAAGCCCAACACCAAACCAAACCTTGCTGACCAACCAGCAAGTATACTTTTAAGCACAAGCATAGTTTAGCCCGCAAGTAAACTCAGTGAACATACACCGAGGTGCGGAATACACCTCTCGGTATATAATCGTATATAACAGGCTTTATTTCGTTACTATAGGTTGGCGCGTGATGGGGTCCGGTTGACGCACCACCTGGCAGCTGCTCCTCTCTGTACTCCCAGCAGGGCCGCTCTCCTCACCGCCCGCTACCCGGCACGCTACGGTACGCACTCAGTCGAAATCCTCAGATTAGGCAAAATTGTAATTAATTAATCAATAAAGATGTTAATAATAATAATAATAATAACAACTCTTTTAACCAGTTGCAACGAAATCCCATTTAGAATCTTTCACTAATGTGCTGCTGGACGCAGCAGCACTCCAGTTAAGTGACTATTGGACCCATTTCGAAGATGACGTCAGATATGCATGCGCATGCTGTATGCTAAACATACATTATACACCTCCAGAGCACGTACACAAATGAATACTTTAAAGCCACTGAGCTCCTTGATGCGTATAATTTTGAGCAGTGTTACAGTATTGATGAACTTGTTACGGAATTAAGATCAACAGTTTACACTTACAGTTTTAGTTGAGCTTAATTAGCTTGTTAGGTCTTAATATCCATCCACGGGTTGTGACGTGAGTCAGTGTCGTGCCAGGACTAAATTTATTTAGCTAAACATTTTTTTAATGTTGGAATACTTACAATTGTTTTGTTTATGTAACGCATCCCAGACCCATCCTGTGGGCGGTGGTGGAAGGAATATACCAGAAATTGCCTATCTACAGGAATAGGCTTGTAGATATTTACTGCTAGGTGAACACAAGCATTGGGAGAAATAATACGCGCACAACCATTTCTACCCCGCCTAAGGGATCGAACCTGGGATATTCAATTGTGAGTGGAGAACGTAGCCACTGTACTACTGTAATGTTTAAAACATGTATGGCTGAGTTAGTGATGCGAGTACGCGTGGCGGAATACATGGAAAGACACGCAGCTTATGTTACCTTCCTTGGCCAGTGTCCTTGCCTGTACTGCAAGCCTTACTCAGGATACAGGAGGATACACAGGATACTTACAGGATACACAAGTGTCAACAACGTGTACAGTTTACCTTGCATCTCAGATCCCAACGCGTGTAGGGATTTTCTGTGATAATTTGAGATTTTACAGACACTTTATTTGTTGGCTCGTTGAATAACCTGTTTATTCAAAATTCATTTGTATCTACACGTAGATTTTCAGTTATTTCTTGGCTTTACGGTGAGATTAAATTAAAATCGAACGTGACAAATTCCACGAAGAATGAGTACCAGGATCTAAGAAGCGTATTGCTGCCGAAGAATCCTAAATAGGATTTCATAGGCAAGCCTTACAAAAAGTAAAATAAACTTGATCCTTTTTTAATAACATATATGTTCAGCAACGTTTTGTGAAATATAGGTCCTATATGCAGTTGTACCAACTATACCGGCCACATATATATATAAGGAGGGAGGGAGAGAAGGAGAGGGAGGGAGGGAGAAAGAAGAGAGAAAATTTTAATAACTTTATGGATGGAACTTATACAAATTCAAATGTTTGCTGCTTATTTTCGCTTTTATGAGAAGAATTCAATATTGAATGCCAGATTGTATTTCCCCTGCAAGACACATCAATGATATAGCACAACTATGAGAAACGCCTGGCGCTCGCGGTATATATGCATACATTATTAAATACTGCTAAGAAAATATATTACATGTTGACAATGTGCCCAAACGAGATAAAGTGGAATTGTGGCAGGCAACTGGAATAGAACTGTGGTTATATCTTTATATAAAAATAAAGTTGAAAGCAATAAGGGTAATAAATATAGACGCATTAGTCTAATAACCGTAATGTGGTGAATATATGGCAGGATAGTGATAGGAAGGGTACAAGAACATACAGAGGATTTAATTACTGATCAGTAAGGTGGGTGGAAGATGGTGTGTTGATCGTATAGATGCATTGAGAGCTTGTGAGATACAATGGGGGGTAAGTTTATAAGGTGTATATGTAGATAAATGTACTTTTATCGACTTGGACCGTCAGTGATACATTGGTGAGCACTGAATATCATATGAAGTTGCTGGAATGTTATTAAACGCTGGGAAGGTGTTTTATGCACGAAGCACAACATGTAGTTGAGCATTCAGCCAAATCGCATTTTTAACTAAGCCTAGACAGTGACACCTGTTGCATCTAGTCGGAATGACTGATCCGGCGTCACCCCTCGTCCTCAGACGGTCATTCTAAGCGCTCCCATTGGCTCCTGGATACACGTTACTGGCTGCCCCGATGTGTTATTATTGGCTGCTCCATATCCTAGTTGTATGTGATTGGTGGATTTCAATTAAACAAATCCCTTATATCTAAGAGCCATTGTATTTCACTAGTTTACTGACAATTCATATATATATATATATATATATATATATATATATATATATATATATATATATATATATATATATATATATATATATATATATATATATATATATATATATATATATATATATATATATATATATAGTAGCCAGAACTCACTTCTCAGCCTACTATGCAAGGCTCGATTTGCCTAATAAGCCAAGTTTTCATGAATTAATGTTTTTTCGTCTACCTAACCTACCTAACCTAACCTAACCTAGCTTTTTTTGGCTACCTAACCTAACCTTACCTATCTATATAGGTTAGGTTAGGTTAGGTAGGGTTGGTTAGGTTCGGTCATATATCTACGTTAATTTTAACTCCAATAAAAAAAAATCGACCTCATACATAGTGAAAAGGGTAGCTTTATCATTTCATAAGAAAAAAATTATAGTAAATATATTAATTCAGGAAAACTTGGCTTATTAGGCAAATCGGGCCTTGAATAGTAGGCTGAGAAGTGAGTTCTGGCTACTAGGTACGACATATATATATATATATGTCGTACCTAGTAGCCAGAACGCACTTCTCGGCCTACTATGCAAGGCCCGATTTGTCTAATAAGCCAAGTTTTCCTGAATTAATATATTTTCTCTAATTTTTTCTTATGAAATGATAAAGCTACCCATTTCATTATGTATGAGGTCAATTTTTTTTATTGGAGTTAAAATTAACTTAGATATATGACCGAACCTAACCAACCCTACCTAACCTAACCTAACCAATCTTTATAGGTTAGGTTAGGTTAGGTACCTGAAAAAGTTAGGTTAGGTTAGGTTAGGTAGGTTAGGTAGTCGAAAAACAATTAATTCATGAAAACTTGGCTTATTAGGCAAATCGGGCCTTGCATAGTAGGCTGAGAAGTGCGTTCTGGCTACTAGGTACGATATATATATATATATATATATATATATATATATATCGTACCTAGTAGCCAGAACGCACTTCTCAGCTTACTATGCAAGGCCCGATTTGCCTAATAAGCCAAGTTTTCATGAATTAATTGTTTTTCGACTACCTAACCTACCTAACCTAACCTAACCTAACTTTTTCGGCTACCTAACCAAACCTAACCTATAAAGATAGGTTAGGTTAGGTTAGGTAGGGTTGGTTAGGTTCGGTCATATATCTACGTTAATTTTAACTCCAATAAAAAAAAAATTGACCTCATACATAATGAAATGGGTAGCTTTATCATTTCATAAGAAAAAAATTAGAAAAAATATATTAATTCAGGAAAACTTGGCTTATTAGGCAAATCGGGCCTTGAATAGTAGGCCAAAAAGTGAGTTCTGGCTACTAGGTACGACATATATATATATATATATATATATATATATATATATATATATATATATATATATATATATATATATATATGTCGTACCTAATAGCCAGAACGCACTTCTCAGCCTACTAATCAAGGCCCGATTTGCCTAATAAGCCAAGTTTTCATGAATTAATGATTTTTCGTCTACCTAACCTACCTAACCTAACCTAACCTAGCTTTTTTTGGCTACCTAACCTAACCTTACCTATAAATATAGGTTAGGTTAGGTTAGGTAGGGTTGGTTAGGTTCGGTCATATATCTACGTTAATTTTAACTCCAATAAAAAAAAATTGACCTCATACATAGAGAAAAGGGTTGCTTTATCATTTCATAAGAAAAAAATTATAGTAAATATATTAATTCAGGAAAACTTGGCTTATTAGGCAAATCGGGCCTTGAATAGTAGGCTGAGAAGTGAGTTCTGGCTACTAGGTACGACATATATATATATATATATATATATATATATATATATATATATATATATATATATATATATATATATGTCGTACCTAGTAGCCAGAACGCACTTCTCAGCCTACTATGCAAGGCCCGATTTGCCTAATAAGCCAAGTTTTCATGAATTAATTGTTTTTCGACTACCTAACCTACCTAACCTAACCTAACCTAGCTTTTTTGGCTACCTAACCTAACCTAACCTATAAAGATAGGTTAGGTTAGGTTAGGTAGGGTTGGTTAGGTTCGGTCATATATCTACGTTAATTTTAACTAAAATAACAAAAAATTGACCTCATACATAATGAAATGGGTAGCTTTATCATTTCATAAGACAAAAATTAGAGAAAATATATTAATTCAGGAAAACTTGGCTTATTAGGCAAATCGGGCCTTGCATAGTAGGCCGAGAAGTGCGTTCTGGCTACTAGGTACGACATATATATATATATATATATATATATATATATATATATATATATATATATATATATATATATATATATATATATATATATATATATGTCGTACCTAATAGCCAGAACGCACTTCTCAGCCTACTATTCAAGGCCCGATTTGCCTAATAAGCCAAGTTTTCATGAATTAATGTTTTTTCGTCTACCTAACCTACCTAACCTAACCTAACCTAGCTTTTTTTGGCTACCTAACCTAACCTTACCTATAAATATAGGTTAGGTTAGGTTAGGTAGGGTGGGTTAGGTTCGGTCATATATCTACGTTAATTTTAACTCCAATAAAAAAAAATTGACCTCATACATAGAGAAAAGGGTTGCTTTATCATTTCATAAGAAAAAAATTATAGTAAATATATTAATTCAGGAAAACTTGGCTTATTAGGCAAATCGGGCCTTGAATAGTAGGCTGAGAAGTGAGTTCTGGCTACTAGGTACGACTATATATATATATATATATATATATATATATATATATATATATATATATATATATATATATATATATATAGTCGTACCTAGTAGCCAGAACGTACTTCTCAGCCTACTATGCAAGGCCCGATTTGCCTGATAAGCCAAGTTTTCATGAATTAATATATTTTCTCTAATTTTTTTCTTATGAAATGGCAAAGCTACCCATTTCATTATGTATGAGGTCAATTTTTTTATTGGAGTTAAAATTAACGTAGATATATGACAGAACCTAACCAACCCTACCTAACCTAACCTAACCTATCTTTATATGTAAGGTTAGGTTAGGTAGCCGAAAAAGTTAGGTTAGGTTCGGTAGGTTAGGTAGCCGAAAAAGTTAGGTTAGGTTCGGAAGGTTAGGTAGTCGAAAAAACATTAATTCATGAAAACTTGGTTTATTAGGCAAATCAGGACTTGCATAGTAGGCTGAGAAGTGCGTTCTGGCTACTAGGTACGACATATATATATATACACTGCATATATACATATATATATGTGTATATCACACACGAATTTTACATTTACATTGGTACATTATAAGCAAAATGATTCAAAGACTTCGAATGCAGAAAAACATGACAGATTTTTCACGTCCCAACAGATAGATCACTTATCAGCCTATATAGGACGTTATCACCATGGTAGAATTTCCTAGATCTCTGATATTTAGTTTCATCTCCGGAGCTGGCTGGGTTATTATTGTGAAAATATTGTGAAGGGTGTAATATCATATTCCTTACAATACATGTTCTTTGTTCAGGCTTAGTTGGCGAAGACGGAACACCGCCGGAGATCATGCATGTTGCCAGTAGAGTGGGTCTGCCAGTTGAGGAAGTGACACTGGCAAAGGCACTGTCTATGGTCAACTACACCACTGCAGCCATTGGTAAGTTCCTCCTGTTGTTCTGCCAGTGGCTCTCGGACAGCCCCTTTTTAGTATTATTTACAATTCGTTGTTTAGCATCCAGTTTTCTAAGGCGGTTAAAAATATACAGTATACAGCGTTTCCAGTTTCAGTCAATGCCAGAATAAATTTAATTTGATGTAGTTTATTCAAACATAAATCACTGTCGGGTAAAGTGAGACAAATTAAACATTTTCTCGAGCTTCTCACGTTCATTTATTTACATAAGAATAAATTATATTGCAGAAGGCCATTTGTCCTATATTAGTCAGCTGTTTCGTCAGAGGTAGCATGGGGGTTCACCATGCTTTTAACGATCTGTTCGACGTATCCGTTAGCGTATCCATTATTGACTAGAATCTGCTTTACTCTACTGAGTTCCTCATCCACCTGCTTCCAACTGGAGCTGCGTGTGAAAGCACGGTTGACATAGGCGTCGACAACACGTGTGCTCAATATCAGGTACCTGCAGGAATGTCATCAACATACCTACATGAGACGTTGGGTTTTAAGTCCATGTTAATAAGGACTTCCTGTTCGACCCATATAAAAATGAGCAAATAAGACACCAAGGGGGTAACCTGTAGCGACACCATCTACTTGTTTGTACATACGAGCGTTAGAACTCAGGAAGGGTGCTTCTTTAGGTCAGGCGTCGAAACGCTAATCTTTCTGCCACCGACCACAGTATGGGTATGAAGTCCATAATATACTAATTAAGCTAAACATTTCAGGTAAGTGGCATTTGGGTCAGATGTGTGGAGCGTTCGGGCGAGGGTGTCTGGGACCCAAACGTCACGGCTTCCAGTATTTCTACGGTCTGCCCTTTACACTGGCACCTGAGGCAGCTGGCTCCCATCCTTTCTGGATATTCCCTCTAGATGATCCTTTCTACCAGGTGAGACGAATAATTACTTTCTAGGTGATGCAAGAAACTCACATAACTATTAAGAGAATATTATAATAAAAGGACAGTAGTAGTTGAAGATATAATAAATAATTGAAGTAACTAGTGAACAAATCCACAAGGGCAGTGACGAGGATTCGAACCTGCGTCCGAGAGCATCCCAGACGCTGCCTTAATCGACTGAGCTACGACATGGTCAAAAGGAGTTGAAACTGAAGTTCTACTGAACCTACTGTGTGAAGTAACTAGTAATAGAACTAAGCCAAAAAGCCATTATCTTCAATAAAATCGAAAATTTTACTCGCCTGAAATATCAGATAACGCCTAAGGATCGCTGATAATAGTTAGCTGCCAATCATTCGACTAGTTGACAAATATGATTGTTTAAAGATTAGACTGTCAACGATGGTGTGCCTTACAATTACAAGCCCCACCCTCTCCCACAGTCTACCAGTTGATTAACAGTTGAGAGGCGGGACCAAAGAGCCAAAGCTCAACCCCCGCTAGCACAATTAGATGAGTACAGTACCCAAATCACACGTGAGCTTGCCCTCGGTGCAGTCAGCTCACAACCGCCTTTGGTCCCGGGTTCGATACCCGGGCAGGGTGAGACGTTTGGGCACGTTTCCTTACTCATTATGTACCTGTTCACCTAGCAGTAAAAGTACCCGGAAGTTAGGTAACTATTACGGATTGCATCCTGGGGAGGGTTAGGAGTCGGGTTAAGGGGACCTCAATAAGTCTAATAGGCTTGTGGGACGCTCGTAGCTGGTTGCCCCAACCATTATTTGTGTATATTTGATATTTTTTGTAGCAAATTTTATTTAGTAATATAGGATTTTAGAATGTGAACTGCTCCATACTCCGTGCTATGGATGCAGGCGTGACTGACGGTTGTAATGACTGTATAAAAAAGAAGTTTTTCTCTCACTACTGCATCGCTTGCTATGGCAACAATGTTAAAATAGCTAATATCAGTAAAGGAATGGAACTGGGGATATATCAATAGTTTCTGATATAAATAAATGAAGGGTCTTTAAACCGTAGTGTTTACCGTAAACAAGTACAAATATACGAGGGGAGAGGTGTACAAAGTCATCAGAAACAAATTCCTGTATTGTGAGTACCAATAGAGCCTTAAAAAACTTGCATTATATATATCTGATTTAGTGAATCATACGTTCAGACTCTATATTACCTATTCATAATATAGTATAATAATAGTGGAAAGTGCAGAGAGCCTATAAACCAATGCGGGGTAGTTCTTTTGTGTACCTAACTCACTCCCATATTGATTTCTAGTTTGCTAATTTCTACCTCTCCTCATTTCACATTTTCTTCCATCTTTCTCAGATTTTGTTTTAATTCCACATTTTTCTTGTTTTTTTTACATTCTGGAGATTCGTGTTAAATAATATGTTGCTTCTGTTCCCCATTTATTTTCCTCTGGGTTGGGATGAGCGTGTTGGTGACTCAGTCACATGTATGAGGCAGTATTCCTCATTGTATTTACTGTTTTTCCCTTGAGATCAATTTATAATGGCACCTCTTCCGTGTAGTCACTTATTTCTGCTGTCTGCACCCCTGCAGCAGCCTATTGTGTGCGGCGGGTGTGGTCATTTGCTATTTTTTCAATTTCAATTTAATTTTTTAACATGCAAGAAATTTTTTACAAATATTATGCTATTTAATTTGTTGATATACACTATTTAACCTAAAAAATCAGAGGTTTAATTTCACTGAAGCTAGATAGGTATAATAATAATAAATAATTCATTGTGTCGGGGGACAGGAAGCCAGAGTGTATTCATACACGTTAGCCTTATATAGAGGTCCACCCCTCAAAGGTCGAATTACTGACCCGGCCCAGGATGGCAATTCCACAACAAGCTTACTAACTCCTGAGTACCTACTGACTGCCCGGGATTTGAACTCGGAATTCTGTGCGTCGAGAAGGAACCAGACTGTACTACCATGACCCCCTAAATAATAATTTATAATAATATATGGTTGGTATATAGTTGACAGAAGTGAGAATCGCAGAGGAAACTCAGATGGTTTAATGGAATATTCCCCATAGCGCAATTGCGGATAAATGTGTTTACCTTCTTAGGCTATATAAACATAGTATGCATTTCTGTGAATGTTGATCAATCCGTGTATTTCCGAACTGCGTGAAAGAATATATTCTTTAATTAATGATTATTCCTACCCCCTCCCCATACTAAATATTATGCATGTATGTATGTACAGAGCATAACTGCAGGCTGCTTGGCCAGCACGGTGGTGATCGCTGTGGGTTGGTGGTGGTACAAGTGGCGACGCCTCGTGCTGGGCTTGTTCGTGGTGGTGGTGGTGCTGGCGGGGGCTATCAGCTGGTTCCTCCGTACACACTACCGCCTCTACACCCAGTGGTGGTGGCAAGTAAGGTCTTATTACCTGGTTAAGTGCACATAGCTAGGAGTGTATATTAACATAGGTACAAGTAGCCTAGGGAGTTTCTCCCTGAATTCGAGGTTCTATATGTTGTGTTTTGCAACATCATCAATGTTAAAAATGTCTTATCTTCTCTTTTCTAGTCACAGAAAATATATTTAACTGGAACCAAAGAAATGCACAATAAGTAAAATTAGCTTATATTGGATGGGCATAATTTCCCTCAAAGGAAAATATAAAATTTGGCAAAATACCTGTTCATTGAGACATCTGTCCCCCCTGGCTATTTCACACAGTACATAAGCTTATGGTGGTGTGTTCTTCAGGTCTCGCCGTGGATGATACAGCACCTGAACTGTATAGTGATGCAGGACGGGGTGGTAGTGGAGCAGCCACTGGTGCTGGAGGGACTCTCTCAGCGACTCGTCAGCCATTCCCTCAGGTTCATCGCTAACCACACCACCCACGGTCGCCCCTTCTTCCTGTACCACGCCTTCGCCCACGTCCATACACCCATGTTCACACTACCAAGCATGGCTGGACGCAGCAGGCATGGCAGGTGAGCAAAGACGAGGATTGAGTTCCAATTATGTCATCAGTGGCGCTAAGTCTTCAAGGTGATTGTGTGTATATGGGCAAATAATAGGTCTCCTGTTAAAATAAAGGGGATGATTTATGCGCAGGTACGGGGATAACGTGGAGGAGATGGATGCTGGCGTGGGGAAGATCCTGGATGCTCTCACACGCCACAACCTTGACAACAACACCATTGTTTACTTCGTGTCTGACCATGGCGCCCACCTGGAGGCCATAGCCCCGGACGGCCAGCGTACAGGAGGATATAATGGACGCTTTAAGGGTGAGTCACAAGAGTTTACGAAATGATCATGTCTCGATTGATTGGTGATTGATAAAGATTAAGCCACCCAAAAGGTGGCACGGGCATGAATAGCCCGTAAGTGGTGGCCCTTTTGAGCCACTACCAGTATCAAGAGCTGATACTGGAGATCTATGGAGGTGCGACTGCACCTTGCGTGACGGGAGATGTATCCCGTGCATGTCACGAAAAACTAATGCCATAATATAGCGAACTGAACGATCTATTGTATAAGGCTATAACTGAGACCCTAAATTAAATACCATTAAGTAGTGTTCGTTTTTCTACGTGAATTACTTTCTTAATTGAAACAGAATTAATACATGTATAACTGTATGGTCTGAAAGGTATTCCAGTTTCAGAATAGAATAACTTTCCTCCCACAGGGGGTAAGTCCATGGGTGGAGCTGAGGGCGGGATCCGTGTACCAGGGATCTACCGATGGTCAGGTCACCTGCCTGCCGGGGTCACCGTCGACCACCCCACTTCCTTGCTCGACATGATGCCCACTCTCCTACACCTGGCCGGCCTCCCGCCTCTTCATCAGCTGCTCCCTAACTTGCCCTACAGGGTAAGTCCTGTACCAGAATACGACTGTCTATATCACAAGTAGTCTCAAGTCCAGAGATGCCATCATCACCTCACAAGTCCAGATGGTGCAGTGGTAGCACGCTCAACTGTGGATAAAAATTTTATATGAGAAAGGCAGGACTAACAGTGATATATTCCATCATTTGTGAGTTCTTCTGATCGAGAACTGCCAGGTAATCTCTTCTGAATGCACCCGTAGAGTGTATTCAGAGGGATGAACAGTGTGTTCAGATAGGAACACTGTTCACATCTGGTTGATACCTGGTTGATGGGGTTCTGGGAGTTCTTCTACTCCCCAAGCCCGGCCCGAGGCCAGGCTCGACTTGTGAGAGTTTGGTCCACCAGGCTGTTGCTTGGAGCGGCCCGCAGGCGCACATACCCACCACAGCCCGGTTGGTCCGGCACTCCTTGGAGGAATAAATCTAGTTTCCTCTTGAAAATGTCCACGGTTGTTCCGGTTGTTCTGGGTATGCTTCTCAAACTAAAGATTTGTACAGCAGACATGGGGTGAACTTGGTATGATTATATATATCTTCCCCTTTATCTAGTAAGTATTGGATGGGATGGTCGAAAATAATCACTCAACTGAGCTAAAATTTGGAGGATTATTAGCAAACCTACCCTCAGAAACGACAGGGGATTAAATTCCTACATAACCAGTATATTAATGCACTTTTTGAGGGGAAGTGAAATTGTTAATTTATTGGCATGTATTAATTTTTTCTCTTGTGCATTACAAATTTTCATATTAAAATAGTTTTTCTTAAGATTCAAATTGGCCCAACCTATTTATCTGGTAATTATCTAAGTCGTCCAGAAGCTGGATTTTCATTCAACACACCTTCATTGCAATTTCTTTCAATACTGGAATTAAACTAAAGCGTTCATATTATCCATATTTGTTTTTGTTTAAATCATCATGAAAATGAATTGACAAGTTTTAAATTTAACAAAAATAAACTCTCAACTTTTTTTTACAAAATAGTTCAAATGCAGCATAATCAAACATTTGTTTAAATGCTCTTAAACATTTGAATACAGTTTAGGATTATCTTGAAAATATTTTGAGTGTATAAAGAGGTCTAACTGGAGTGTGAAGTAGCGTTGTGTTTACAGGGCTTGGGGAGGAAGGTAGAAATAGCCTAAGCTACTCTATCCCTTTGAGATGTATTTTTTTCTTGTCTCAATAAACATATTTGAACTTGAATAGGGCTTGGATGGGGTGAGCCTGGCTGGTCTACTGAAGAATGGTTCTTCACCTCCTGCTCGGGTCCTCCTTCACCACTGTCAACAAGCCATTCATGCCCTTAGACTTGTTCAAGGTACAGTATTTACAAAAAAAAATCCCTCGGCTTATTGTAATAAGAAATAACTTGCGAAAAATAATATTAAAAATTCTCCGGACTTGTTCGAATTAAAAGTTTTTCGGGTAAGGAAAAATGTTTCCGGTCATATTGAAGATAATATAAAGAGGTAATTGTATAAGCTAGTAAGGTTGTATAATAATTATATGAAGAATTAAATAAAATTCTTATTAAGGTAACACAAAAATGGAGCTCAAACGTAATGAAACTATTGAATTAACTAATAGCCAAATATATAAATATAAATATTACAATGAAATAAATTCAGATTACGTTTGACATGTTTAACATGTCGTTTTGACATTTAACATGTTTAGATAATGAACAATCTTTTAAAAATTTGTAAATAAAATATATAAGATAATAAATGAGGCCAAAAAGTTTAATCCAAGGATCATATTCATACCAGTAAAAAATGAATTAGAATACTCTCAAATAAAAAATAAGAAAGAAAATCAATATGTAATTGATGCAACTAAACAATTGCATATATTTTTCAACCTAACATAGTATATATTCATTAAATTTGTATTATATGTTATATTTAAACGTGCTCAATTCACCCATGTATCCCTAATCAACTATTGATTTTGAATAATAGATTTCGTGATATACATATCTATAAATATATACATAGGAGGGGGTGGGGTACCACCTTTGGTTGCATTTGTAGGGACCCTTAGCCTCGAAGAAGAGGATATGTAGCATTCGGGGAAAACCCTTATTATTATTATTATTATTATTATTATTATTATTATTATTATTATTATTATTATTATTTTCTACCACAGACGTGGCCACACATTTACAATTCTAACCAGCATATATACATTTTCTTCTGTCCTCCATGGACAGGGTAAGAGAGATTTGTCAAACATATAGTTCAGGGATTTATTGAACAATCAACCATAGAAGGTGATTGTACTGCTTTTAAAATGCTAGACTAAGCTACACACGTAAATGCATAGATACACAGATTTATGTATGCTACATAAAGTGTTTGATGTGTCTTTTACATAGTGTCATTAATGTGCATTTACAAAGGTGAAATGTAATTCTGATCAGCTTCCGCATATACTTTATACACATACATACACACATATACATAGATACATACATACATATATACACACACATACATACACATACATTCTATTTGTCTCTTTTACTCTGACAGGGTGAGATAGCCGATAGAGAAATTAGTGTGCAATTAAGAACTTAATCACTGAAGGTGATTAAGATGCTTTTACAAGCTCAGGTTATATAGTTACATCACATACATACATTGTATAATTTATACATTACATGGTCAATCTAGAGTAAAAGTCCAATATATCATCAAGTGTTCCAGTACTCATACTCTGTAACAACTATATGAGTAACGGGGTGAGAATAGCTTGAGCTACCTCATCCCTTTGTGTGTATTTTACCTCAATAAACTTATTTCAATTTCAATTTACTATATGAGTACTGGGAGAGCGCTGTGGGGCACCCGCATACACAAACCTATTGTCTTCTCCTACCACCCCTATATATATATATTTTTGTATTTTATTTTACTTAAAACTTCATTTAACAAAATGGGTTACAACATTGGTTACATGCAAGGTGCGATGCTACTTGTCGAGTTCTTCGAGCTCCTCAAATGGCGGGCAGGAAACATGGATGCAGTGTTTCTCCTTTGTATCGCCACACTAAGGAGCTGAAAGAGGAAGCTGGCAGCTCTAGGGTCTCTTGTTGTTTCAATTAGCTTAGAACCCAGTACCTTCACAAAACTAGTGGCACTTTAAATATATAAATATAAGTTCCCCATTATTCACTTACCTATATTCTCTTAGATTTTTAGAGCTATTTAAGAGCTCTCGTATTCCAGCTCTATCTCTACGCATATACTTACATATTTACTTATATATTCCTGGAGTAGACAAGAAAGTGTACAAGATGCATATAGCAGGTCACAAGTGGCCTGAAGGAAGCACACAGTGTGGCTGGGGAGAGGGAACCTATTGCCAGTGTTATGGTGACACTATTCAACACTATGGCCACCAACCCCTCTTGTTTGACCTCCAGAAGGACCCGTACGAGGACCATCCCATACCCACCAACACCACTGAGTAACTATATACTGATGCGAATTTTTATCTTAATTTTGATACTCATTAGATTTATGTATATATTATATTTTAATGGGGCGTCTCATACTTTAAGTCACTTCCAATTTAGGTGATAAAAGTCTAAATATGCAGCTACATACACAGCCATTGTTCCCAGGGAAACGAGTTGATAAATTATTATTCCCGTGTCTTCTGCAGATATATAGACGTGACGGGGATGCTGCAGAGGTATCTGACCAACTGGAGGTCGCGGGTGCCCTACCCTCGCTCCCAGTTCAGGAGCGTTGTCAACACTATATTGTCTCCCTGGCTCCAGCCCTTCCGATGGCCCTAGACTCGCTTGTCTTAAGGGGAAGCCCCTTACCGCTCATATTTTATACGCTTTACTGTGTTTAAGGATATAGGCAAGAGTCCTTAGCGTTATCACTTTATATGACATGTCTAAGAATTTAAGAATATGCACAATCCAGCCACGAGGCTTTGAGGAAAATGTAAATAACTTCAGATATCGTTATTTCGGAAAGGTTGCCATCAGAATTAGGTTAAATGTCAACAGAGCATTTCTATACTCTAGAAATAGAGCACAATAATGCACAATTTCTAACACGGGTTAGAAATCTCAGCAAGTCCTAAAATTGCTCAAGAGTAAGAGGATGAATGTTGTATATTATTGTTAGATTAAAAATGTCAAAGTTGATCGGGATAGATTAGGTTAGGTTAGATTTTTATTAAGATATAATATTTTCTGGGCACTGTAAATGTACCCAAATTTATTTATTACGGTAAGACCATATGCATTTACAATTGTATATGAAAACAAACTAAATAATGTTATTGTTATGCATATATTATGCTATGTAGTGTTAGCTGACTTAGAGTATTTACTCTAGGGTGAACAGGAACAATTTCATCGAATGGTAAAACGTGAATCGAGTAATATGGAAAAGTGCCAAGGATGGGATAAAATATAATTATATTTTAATGACGAGAAACGAAAATAATGAGCAAGGTGAATTTGATTTTAATATACCAAATAATTTTAAATACTAAATTTATTGTATACCGTATGCAAATAATTTATGGCAGAGCTTGTCAATGAATAAAATAAAGCTTTTAGAACATATATTAAACAAACTAAAATACCATTACAGCAATGTACTTAAAAATTCAATATGTGTGGGCCGCTGCTCTTGATGTTGAATGTGAAAGTCTATACATAAATATTTTGTGGAATGGTGGAAAAAAAACATACACACAAAACCACGCTAGGCTTGTATTTATCCGCAGGCTACCCATCTCTGGCCTCGACGGGATCAGGAAGCCGGCGGCTTGTCGAAGTTTCCTCCAATATTTTCTGAGGAGTTACATCTTTGCATTGATATTTATGTGTGTTGTTGTGGCTGCCTCAGCCTACATCCTCTCCTCTGCTTCTAAGGTTATGTATAGTGGTGTGCGGCTTCTCTGCCTCTCAAGTTTTCAGAGCTTCAACTAAATGCGTAATTTAGTTACCCAATAAAATTGCAGAATGAACTTTGAAGTACATTTTTTAACTTCCTTCTCAATGACGTATATATACAGGTATATATAAAAATAGAGAAAATTCGTGCTAGAAACAGAAGTGATCTAACCCTTTCGCCACTTATGTATATATATATATATATATATATATATATATATATATATATATATATATATATATATATATATATATATATATATATATATATATATATATATAAACCCTATGTTCCTTTCTTTTTAGTAAATCCAGAGTTTCCATGTGTTTTGCATTACTTTGCCATCACTAACATTCATTTGTAGTGGGAATCCATTTAAACTGCCTGCCTGTAATTAAGCAGCCTATCCTCCTGTTTTGGTAGTACTTATAGTAACGATGAGGACCATAGTATATATATATTCCGACGTACAACGAAATTAGAAAGTAGAAATCGGCACTATTGAGTTGGACAAACCGGAAAACTACGTTCTAATTATGTTGCAAAGACGAATTAAACTAACCTAACTGAGCCTTCCTAGGCCTAATACACGATATCTGAAGCCTAATATAGTACATATGTGTGATATACTAGGCCTAGGAACATTTAAGTATGTTAGCTTTTTTCCGACTATAAAGTGAATAGTACAAAATTCTACTATCTAATTGCTTAGAACGGCAATCTTTATACTACGGTGTACATAGTTACAAAAACTACTATATAAACAGGAGGATGCGTTGGCGTAAGCCTCCTACCTCCTGTTTGTGCCGGCAAATTGTCCTCAGGCTAGGGTCCTTAATGCTGCGGCCGTCGCCCCCCCCCCCCCGTTCCCCAGGCGCATTCATTAATTTTAGCGTACTGCGTATTCAAAATTTGTATGTTCTTAAATATAATTTAATATTATTTTATACGACAATAACCTGAATAGTTAGGCCTAATTTAGATTAGGTCAGGTGGGTTAGGTTCTGTTGGCCATTATTGGTATTTTAATTTTTTTAATTTTGAATGTGTGATTCGGACAGAGGACGTGAACGAAGCACTGCTCGAGAAATATATATACGTCATTAGTTATGAGTAGCGAGAGAAGTGGTTTTTCATTCCTAAACACAGGGTTTGGTGGCTGGATTATCGGCCATTTTGGCGTTTGTTGATGAGGTAACCCAGCTTCCTACTACAAATACAAACCTAACCTAATTACATCTAACTGAACTCTTTAACACATGATAATATATATAATAATATTAAAGTACATTTGAGAAGATACCAATTTTGAATACGCAATGTTGAAATGGGTGAATGCTTGTTTGGGTCCAACAGCTGATGTGACGAGCTCAGTCAGACGACAGAGGTGGCGGGGAGTGTGTCGTCACACCTGCCTTCCCACACATGCCACAGTTCTCGTGTGTGTGTATCATATAATACATCCTCTGGCGTATTTGGCTGCAAGTTAGGACCTCGCCCGTTTTCCTAAGAAGCACAGAGCCGTGCAGGAGGTCCTGGAGTTCGTCCTATGAGCAAGGTGAGGAGTCCTTTCGGATTGTCTCTGGTTCCACCCCCCATTACCTACAGGGGCGGCGGCACCATTCCCCATTACCTACAGGGGCGGCGGCACCATTCCCCATTACCTACAGGGGCGGCGGCACCATTACCTGGCGTACCTCTACGTATATTTTGTGTAACTTAGTGAACCACAGAGATGTGCTTGTGAGAATGATCAGTTTCATGGTTAATTACGTAAGTATAATTTGTGAGAATACATTATTTTTCTTCTCTCGTCTCTTCGTTTTCCAAGTTGGTAAACATTTGTTAGAACGAAAATGGACTTGTTATACCACGACCCGTGCAGTGGGACTTGCCATACCACGGCCCATGCAGTGGGACTTGCCATTCTACGGCCCGTGCAGTGGGACTTGCCATACCACGGCCCGTGCAGTGGGACTTGCCATACCACGGCCCGTGCAGTGGGACTTGCCATACCACGGCCCGTGCAGTGGGCACAATTTCCAAGAGTGACGTTAGTTAGACATTGAATCTAGGTTAAATCAACGTTGATTCCTTGTTGGTATGTATATTGTGTCCACTTGGAGCATTGATATTCTCAGACATTTTGGTAGAGACCACTTCGTTACAGAGCCTTTTGTGTGTTGATATTGTATATAAACGTTGGGACTTCGTTTAAAAATAGCTTGTTACACAATGGATAACAATAAAAGCCTTGAGCACCCCACCCCCTTCCGTAGATGCGAGGGAATTACGTTTCAGGGATCTTATTCGAAGCAAATCTTGGCTTCAGGATTAGACAAACAAGATGGGCGAGGTTCAGTTCCACCGAGAAGATAAAAAGGGCACCAGAGATCCGCAGTTGAGGACAAGGGTGCTCAGTACAGCTACTTGTCATCTCTTAGAGGCACAGCGCTGTCTACTGACGGAGGCGCGCTGTCCGGGGCGGCGCTGTCGTCTTGTGCTCGTCGGCGGCCAATTTAAATGAGGCTCCCTTCACAATAGACTAATAAAGGACTCTAAATTGTAACATATCAATGAGAGTAGGACACGTTTCTATCATTTAGATCACTTTAGACCACTATACCACAGCGCCCTGTGGTATAGTGGTTAGTGCTCATCTGCTCTCTTCGCAAGAGAGAACGACACGTGTATTAATCCTGTTCGGGGTGGGTTGATTGGGCATTTTTTTTTTTACTGTCCACTCCTCTGTACCCAGCAGTAACTGGGTAGCTGGCTTTAAAGCGATTGGTGGATCGTATTCTAAAGAAAACATAACAACTTAAGTAGCACCAAGCCTGGCCTCAAGCCTAAGTGTTCAGAAAAAAAATAATACATGGTTATTACTGAGCAAACCAATATCAACACCAATTTGTGTTGATATTGAATATGCGCTCATGCTCAAAATTGTACAATGTAACAGTGTTTCTATAATGCACTACCAGACACATAATATAATAATATAATTCACACATAATCTGCTGTTACGTATGTATAGACAAGCCGTCAATATGTTACCTGTACGGCATTTACTAATTTTTATATTGTTTTAATGCATTGAATTTAACATTTACTTTTAACATGTTTTCTTTTTAAAACATTATTGTTTCGTAAAGTCATCAGTGTTAATTTATTGTTCTAGAGTTTCATTATTACGTGTTATAAACCTGTTTAAATGTATAGACGTATATTTTTATGTGAATAGCATTATCGATACGTTGTAAATAGTATTTTTTATATCCTGCTCATTATTCAGTCTCACTTTCAAACAGTTGATTGCTGTTAAACCGAATATTTTCAATCAGTCGCAGGTTGGAACAGCTGTGTTCAGAAAACCATCTCGCCAAGTGATGGATGAGGAAATCAGAATTTGGACATTTGATATATTTCAAACTCCGGTAATCTGTTTATAAGAGAAAATTGTGTACATTAAAAAAAATATTCAACTCCCATATAATATAAAAGTTGTTTGGCTTTTCGTAATTCGACCGTTGAAGAATTTCTGGTCATAATTCTAACCTGTCACGAATACTATTTAAATATGAATTACATCAGCTGGTATATGTGATTACACTGGAGTTATTAATCTTACTCGGGCCTTTTTAACAGTGACTACGTTCTCTACTCACAATTGGAGATCCCAGGTTCGAATCCCCGGGAGGGACAGAGATGGTTGGGCACGTTTCCTTTCACCTAATTCACCTGTTCACCTAGGAGTAAATAGGTATCCCGCCAAACACACACCGAAACTACGACGTTGCTACAACGTTCGAACAAGTTTTAACACCTCCTAACCAGTTATAACAACCAATATATCAAGTTCTAGCAACGTTCTAATACGTCATAAACACGTTAAGCCAAGATGTAACAACTTTATTACAAGTTGTAACAAGCGGAAAATAGAGACAGTTTCGGTTTGTGTTTCCATACCCAGGAGCTAGGCAACTGTGTATGTGTGGGTTTGTAGACTGTGCACCCCTATAAGTGCTTAGAAACAGATGGCCTATCAGTATCGTATTTTTGTGTGTGCTGAAAAAAAAGACTTTCAAATCTAGTAGAGCAAGGCAGCTATACCAACGTCTTCATATTGTTTACATAACAAGTGATCTGACTACAAAGCTATGTGGTATGCCCTATTGGGGTTGTATAGCCAACTATTGTAATATTGTTAATGGTCTGGATAAAGGGGGGCATAGAATAAGAGACGATAATCGGCTGAGAATAACTCAGAGGAGAGAAGGTGCAAGAGTTTGTTCAGAGGGGAGAGTAAGATGATGAAAACGGGGAGGGGAGGTAATGAAGTGGAAGGGTGGAGGAGGTGAATGGAGATGTAGAAGGGCAGAGAGGCTCAATCTTGAGAGAACTAACTTTTTAATTGCGCATTATTAAGACTTCTTTAAATTAGTCGACGGGCAATCTCCATTAAGTCAACATTGAAGTTCCATCGCACAATTTATATTTCCAATATTTTCCACTTGAAGTATCATCATGCACCAGCTTGCTGCTTGTGTTGTGTAGGCACCAGAGAGTAATTTCTGCATGTAAGAAATACAACCGTTATTGTTTGTGCGGCCCGACTGCGTTGGATTTACATTTATTGTTTGGTGATATTTCTCGCGGAGTGCTCAGAATACAATGGTGGCCCTTGTAGTGTATCCCGGACCAGTGCAGCGTAATAGAGAGCAAGTCATCCCAGTTTATCGAAACCCAGGCTAGACCATATAGCACCACAGCCAAAAGTGTATTGCATAGGCAGACGAGGAGTCACAATAACGTGGCTGAAATATGTTGACCAAACCACACACTAGAAAGTGAAGGGACGACGACGTTTCGGTCCGTCCTGGACCATTCTCACAATCGACTTGAGAATGGTCCAGGACGGACCGAAATGTCGTCGTCCCTTCACTTTCTAGTGTGTGGTTTGGTCAACATCAATGTATTGCATAGCTTAGCGCGGAATACACTAGGGAAATCTCGTCTACGATATTTCCATTATAACCCAAGCCAGTCAAGCATAGA